GTACATTTTGGAAGCTGCTTGGTTGCACTTCCTGCCTACTCAAGTACTACTATATCCCTTCTCAGGCCTTCGATGGGATTGAAGATTAGATAGTCGTAATTACTTTCCTCTTATGATTTAGCCAAGCCATTTCCTATATAAGACTTAGACTCCTTAGGATAGAATGATTATTGCAACATTTAGCATATGTTCCTTGCTTAATATTGTTTATGCTGGTTATAATCCTAATTTTTATACTTGGTATTTGTTCTTATTATATATAGTTTTGTATTAGGCTTAGAACTCTTTTATTTAAACAAAAGGGGGAGGTGCTGTAGGAATTCCTTCAGTCAGTAGTCTTTAAGATACCAACCTACTTGTGCATGGCCTATTATATTATAAATGCTGATGTAAAGTGTATGCTTGCTCTCTCTTTCCTGGCTTCTGGATTCGGTTCTTATTCCCTGTTTGTGCAGAAGACTGAGATCTGTGAATCTACCCCTAAATAAATAACCCTTTAGTATATGTAATTATGAGCTAGTGTGGGATTATTTTGTAACTTCCATCTTCAACCATTCTGATGAAGAAACCTGACTACAGGTAAAAGTATAACCAACCGGGGACTCAGTATCTGTGATTGGTGTTTGATGCAGGAGACAGGATTGTGCAACTGAGCCTTTAACATGTGCTGAGTCTATACTAACTCCAGGTGGAGCTATTGTCCTCAACCTTCCTGATACAGTGACCCTTTAATACAGTTCCTTATGTTGCATAAAATTATTTTGTTACTACTTTATAACTAATTTTGCTACTGTTATGAATCGTAAATATCTGATATGTGACTCCTCTAGGGGTTATGATCCATAGGTTGAGAACCACTGAAGTAGAAAAAATAGTTGATCGAATCCAGAGTTTTAGAGAATTGGTGGTACTAAAAACCCTGCTTCAGGCTGGAGAGATGACTCTGTGGTTAAGAGAACTGGCTGCTCTCCCAAAGGATCTAGGTTCATTTTCTAGCATTCACATGGTGGCTCACAACTGTCTGTAAATTCCATTTCCAGGGGGTCCAGCACCTTCTTCTCACTTCTGAGGGCACCAGACATGCATGAGACACACAAATATGCTGGCAAATACTCGTACACATAAAGTATAAATAAAAAACCACAACAAAACAAACAACCCCCCCCCCCCGAATAAAACAAACACCAAAACGAAGCCCTGCTAAATATTCTATAAATGTGGAAAAGGAAACACAGTTTGGTTTTCCTACATATTTTTCCAATGATTTATACAGAACATTGAAACTTGATACATGCTTTGAAGCACACAAAATTTTATTCATAACCAAATATATTTAAAAATTTTAGACAAGAACCAAAAAGAAAAAAAATTAGGTAACTATTCTTTAAGCTATGATAGGAAACACATGCTTTGTTACAACAACAAAAATGGATAAGTTGTGCTTCTACAAAATAAAGAACATGCATTTGACGCAGGGCTCTTTCTGGAGAAGGTCCTCCCGCACCAAGGGGAGTGGAAGAGGAGGTGGCACCGTTGGGCTGATGCCAGCATGGCCTTAGGTTCAGATTATATTTTCATTTTAAACTCTAGAAACCACAAGATGGGGCGGGCAAGCAAACCCAGATTTTACAGAGGGATCCATGGCAGTCAGCAGGTTGTTAAGGGTAACGGCCCATTGTTTCAGCTAATTCTCCAGGTTGTTCTGCTCCAGTTAACAGTAAAGTCACGTCAGGCTTGACAAACAGGCAGTACTGGCAGTGCTTTAAGTGATTCACTAAACAAATTAAAAAGCCACTATCTAATAACCAGTCTTTTCTACCTTATTCTACTCTACACTCTTTGAAAGACATGCACAAAAGACAGAAGAGACAAAGTCAGAGTGAGGAAGGAACATCTGCTGATCACATTTATATATCTGATGAGAGATTTATAGCTCAAATATAAAAAAATCCCCAGAACTCTTCAGGAGGAAAATAACCCAATAAAAACATACAGAGGGCTTGAATGAATAGGTACTTCACATACAAAAGCCGTTTAACATCATTTACCATTTTAGGGTATGCAAATGAGTACTACAACACATGTTTACTTTGACTGTCATGCTGGCTAAAGTTAAAATAATAATAATAAAAAAAAACCAGTCCACTGGAGTGTTTGTGTGTTCCTGGAAACAGAAGAAGGCATTAACAACCACAGCGTTTGCAAGTTCCTAGTAAAGCTATGTGCACTCTTGTCAAATGAGACCACAACCTCTCTTGAATGCCCAAGAAGTAAAACTTGAGTTCACGAGAAAATGCTCTATTTGTGTTTACAGTGATTTAAAGTGTCTCCAGGTGGATCATGCTCAGCTGGTGAACGGCTATACAGGTGGTGGTACATTTACCGGGGTGGGGGTAGGGTCCAATCTTTTGATTCTCTAACACAACATTGTTATTCCCGAAGTTCACACTCAAAAGCCACATAACTTGAGTTAATAAAATGTAGAAATTCAGGTTTTAAGTAAGTAAGTCCTGTATTGGGCTCTCCTTGGCTGTGATGCACGTACTAGATATCGGAACACTGTTAGCTATAAAAGAATGACATCATGGATCCCTGTGGCTCTGGAGATCATTAACACATCACAGTAAGCAGAACTCAGATGCAACAACTTACCATGTCACAAGATTTCATTGTGACACTGTGGCAAAAACCACAGGCACAGGAAATAGCTGCTAACAGGGGATATGGCTACATGAAGTACAGACTCAAAGGGATGTGGACAATGGGACGTTTTGTATCTTCACTGTGGCAGTGGTTAGCATACTATCTGTTTGTCGCAGGAAGAACTATCCCTTAGGAACGGAGATTTTGTTGCATGTAAATACATGAGATTAAAACATTAAAACTGTAAAGCACTCTGATAGTGGCTTCTAAGCTTGGTGACACTTCACACTGACTTGGAGGTTTCAAAATAAGGGCAAGAAAATCAATTTCTAGCCCCTATTCCTAAACATTTTCTTCTACAAATTTTAGGTGCATTTGGTTATGAATACAATTTTGTGTGCTTCAAGGTGTGTATCAAGTTTCAATGTTCTAGCCACCTAATATGCAGCAGGGTTTTGCTTTGTTTTCTGTTTGGTTATGTTTTTTTAAAATTTGTATTTTATGTGTATGAGTGTTTGCCTGCATGTATATTTGTATGTCTCAAGCATGCCTGATCTTTCTTGCAAGTAGACACAGCTTAGAATGACCCTCGCAGGCATGGTTGTGGCCCACCCTGCTGGCACACTGACTGACAAGCAGCTATAAATTCTGTCTCCAGAAACTTCCATGAAAGTGCACTGTAATGTCTCAATCTATAGATAGGTGGATTGACTTATGGAATTTTTCATTAAGTGTCAGAGTGCCTAAGAGAGTCAAGGCACAGAGCAAACACTCAGTACATATATGATGACTAATTGATGATTAATTGGTTATGCTATTCTGAAAATTTTCCCATGACAGATGGTGTATGAGTGGTGCAGCTCTAAGAAGTATTTTAATCTTAAGATCTTAGATTTTCTATTTTAGGACAAAAGAAATAAATGTCTTCCCAGTAAGCTAATCTTTCTGGGTCTGAAGTGTTCTGAGAGATGAGCAAAATATTTATGCTTACTTCACAGCACCACAGTGCAGATTGTGTGAGTTAATCTGAATTTCTTAGAACACTCCTACCTGGGATGTGCAGAGACACTAACTATGATGATTATTATCCTAGAACATGGCCAAACACAAAATAATTCATTCTGATTGCATTTATATGAGTTTTTAGGAAACAAAGAGCTACTTTCCTCTGACAAAAGTAGGTCAACAGGCTGGTGCTGGCGACAAAGCGGGGAGAGACTCCAAGGGAGCAGGAAAGAGCTCTGGGGTATCCTACATCCTCAGCACTTCACTTCTGACAGAGATGCGTGAGTTCCCTCCCCATGTCAGTGCTCTGGCAGACACTGACCTTCTGACACTAGCCACTTGAAGAGCCTGACCCCACAGGTTAGGGGTTTAGTCCCCCAAGATTCCTTCCTTCTTTCAGATGCTTATTCTAAGCAGTAGATTAATCCGTAACTTCTGCCAGATGACTGTGAGCCTTAATTTTCTAGAGCAGTTCCCAGAACTCAGTCAGACAAATTACCAACATGTTATATAAAGGAGCAGTCAAGCAGCAAGATGAAGACACCCATACCAGGTCAGGAAAGGTGCTGGGTGCTGGGCCTACTTTAGCTGTGAAGTTGGGTCTGGAGGAGGACCAGATGCAGGGTTTTCTTTTGCTGTGGAGTTGGGACTGGCACGTGGCCATATTTACCAACTTGGAAGTTCTCCCAACTCCCAAATTCAGGGATGCTTTTTGGATTGCTTGAGTGTGGGAACCCTTTTCTCTTTCCCAGAGGATAAGAGGGGCTGTAAACCCCAAGCTTCCACTTATGGCTTGGTCTGTAAAAAAAAAAAAAAAAAAACAAAAAAAACCCTCTCCACCTAGAGACATATCCAAAGTCAATTTACTAGTTAAAAAGATAATTAGGGACTTTATTATTTATTAGGGACCAGATATTACAATAAGAACTCTCCCAGAATCTGTTTCAGGATTTCTGAGCCTAAAAGGGGAAGGCAGAGAACACACACACACACACACACACACACACACACACACACACACACACTTCTTCAAATCAAAATGACTACATTTTCACAAATATAAAAAGTCTACATCTGTAACCCCAGCATTTGAATTTGAGGCTATGGAGGGTTACCCAGTAAGATGCTTTGTTTTTGGTATTGAATTCTTGGGATCAGGTTAAATAAAAGGTGAATTAATAGATTAAAATTCTCAAAACAAGTTGCTTAATGCAGAGTGAATAAATTCAATACTGCATCTTGTCCTAGCATACTGTTTGACTACAAAGCCAGCCAGACTCAGCGACACTGCATCTATTTGGGAAGGAGCTTGCTCCAATTTGGCATTATTCACTAGGCAAAGCATGGTTTACCTGCGTTGAACTCCGGGTCGTCTTCCAGGACAGTCACGGCTCCTTCCACAGCATCAACCGCGCTCCCTCCGGCCTTGAGGATGTTGTAGCCCTCGGTAGCTGCTCTGGCTATGCCCTCACGCACCCGCTCTTTCCGGTCGGCCGAGATGTTGCTGGCTCCGCCACCATGGACTACTACCACCAGACTCACGTCGATGGAGCCTAGGCATCAGGAAGAGGCAAGTGTCATTTCGAACCGGTCCAAAAGAACCGACCTGAGTGAGCGGTGACAGAGTTAGTTCAGTTTTTTTAGATTGAGAAGAGGGAGGGTCAGCTCGGCGTGAGTTATGCACGAAAAGCCCGAAGCGACCCCTGGCCCCCAACAATTCTCCCATACTCGCGCACTCCGACCCCGGGGTATGGTCTGGGCGTCTGTGGCTCAGAATGCTGGGGTTTAGGACTCTGAGCCCGCGCCTGTGCCACAGCTCTGACCCTCAGCCTCAGTTTTCCAGAACACCAGTCTTCATCCCCTGTTGGGCCGCCGGTACGCAGGACGCGTTTATCACAGCTCCAGTTCTCCTCCCAGGCTTCTCTGTGCCTCAGTGTCTCCAGGGTAGAAGCTCCCTGTTCGGGTTCCCTCCGCCCAGGGGTCTGGGGCAGCCTGAGGACTGGACCTTCCCACGTCCTTCGGACCTGAGCTCCTGCCTTTGGTAAATCCTACATTTTCGTTCTTGGTCACTCTCCCGTACCTCGGGCTGACGCAGCCATGGAGCAGCGGGCGCCCGGAACACTTTCTCGGTGCGGGGCGGTCGCCAGGATGTCAGGCTGGCCAACCCACCGTGCAGCAAACCGCTGGGCACCCCCGCAACCGCTCCCCAGGCAACGGTTCCACGCCTGCGCACGAGGGTGAGGCCAAGGAGCTACTGAGTTACCGTAAAACTCTGTAGTCCCTTCCGATGCGCACTAGCCTCCCGGGGTTCCGGATCCACCCAGCAATGCTGCTCTTCTACTCACTAGCAGCACACGGGACTCTCTGTTTTCTGTGCCTTACAATTATTGCACGCTCTTAAGTCTTGCTAGCTAGTATTCTAAATTAAAATCTCTTCCCTTTAGGTACAACCGTTCTAATCTTTCGTGAAGAGCAAAATATAAAGTATACAACCGTCAGTAACTCCCCTGGTTCTGTGCATTAGATGCTTCAAGAACCTGAAAAACACACTCACTTCCTCCTCCAAGCCTCGGGATTCCAATTCTAAATACCTTCATTTCCCAGTGCCTTTATTTTGTTGACATTTGTCTTTTTTCCTGCCTCCAGCATTCCCTAAATTTGTTACAGCACGGGGAGAAGACCAAAACCTTGTATTCACCAAGCTGACTCTAGATTCTAGTTTTGTCCTTCTAATAGTCAAAGGACCGAGAACAGATCACCCAGAGGCGGCAGCTACAAATTACTGCAGTATCCATGCATGGGAAGAATGCCTTACTTTATAACGTGAAGCAATTTTATTTGAATTATTAGTTCATTTTTCATAACTTTTTAATAGAAGTTTTAGGAATATTTTATTTTCATTATCAGTTTGGTTTGTACGTTTATTGATATCAGATGAGCTGATGTCAAAGATAGTCTTTCACTTTGCAAGCCTTTCTTTCTTCAAGTTGGGGCAGCACAGGCTCATGTGTTACTGAGAGACTAAATATATACCAATACAAGGGCTGCCCTTGTGTAAGAATTACCAATCATTAGTTCTGCAGTCCGGAAAAATAAACCACAATCAGTAACGATGGCTCCAAATGCTCAGTACCGGGTGGGTAAGTGCCAACTTCCGGGATAACTTTCCTTGTTTCCATCTCACCACTAAGAGAAAAGCTGTATTGGTTTCCTCTAACCATCACAGAGGACAATCCCTCCCAGTTAGTCCTCCCCTGGTTTCCCTAGGCCAACAGGATCCAAGCAGGACACACCAAGCCTTCTTGATACCCTTCGGAGACTCTTGAGACTCCTGCTTTTGAGTCTCTGTCAAAGCAAGTGGTTGGTTGATTACTTTGCGATAGCAAGTTCTAAGTAGCTTTGTCTTGTTCTTGTTGGCGTGGGTTTAATTTACTGCTACATAAATATAGATCCTTATGCAAAAGAGACGTTGGAGAAGGGACAAGGCTTTAATTCTAAAAACCAGAGTGTCAGGCCTAGTCATACTCTGGCCTTTACCTCGGTTGTCTGCCCAACTCCTTCTACTGTGTGCGTTGCTTTTGGCTAGTGATGGCTTCATTCCATTCTCTTAGAGGGTTGTAAAGTCAGACTGTAACCCTTTAAGAGTGGCTTTGCTACAGAGATGACTTTGAATTTTCTCTAATTAGAAAGAAATTGAAGTGATTTCATGTATTACAGTCTGGTCTTAAACTCACTATGTCACTGAAGCTTGCCTTGAGTTCCTGACTCTCCTGTCTTGACCTCCTGAGTGCTGGGATTATAGATCTGCAAGTTCTTTGACTTCATAATGCACCGTGGCATGTGTGTCCAAATCACTACCCTCCAATAAATTACCACCTCCTCAATCAATCAATAATTGTAAAAACAATTAGAAAAACCCAGCAAAACCCTCATGAAGTTCTAAGTAAGTTTATGACTTTGTGTCGGTCACAGTTATAGCTGTCCTTGGCCCCATGTTGGAAGAAGGAGGCTGCTTTTTGGTTCCCGGCTGCTTAGTCCTGAAATAATCACACAGAAACTGTATTAATTAAATAATTGCTTGGCCCATTAGCTCTAGCTTCTTACTGGCTAACTCTTACATATTAATTTGACCAATTTCTAGTAATCTGTGTATCGTCATGTGGTTTACCGGGTAAAGTTTCCAGCATCTGTCTCTGGCGGCTCCATGGCTTCTCTCTGACTCTGTCCTTCTTTTTCCCAGCATACAGCCTAGCTTTCCCCTCCTAGTTCTGTTCTTCCCTGCCATAGGTGCAAAGCAGTTCTTTATCCATTATCCAATAAAAGCAACACATAGACAGAAGGACCTCCCGCCCCAGCCACAATTGGGTCATGGATTGACATGCTTGCTAGGAAGTAGGGCTTACCTGGCAGAAACATATTAGGAGTAGGCCTTTGAAGATTATAGCAGACTCCATGGGTCTATCCTAGATGTTTTCTTGCTGGTCTGCTATGACCTATAGCAGGAGAGAATATAGCTGGGCTGGAAGAGTTATATGGAGAGAGTAGGCAGAGTCAGGGAGATGCTGTGTAGGCACTGCAGGAGACAGATGCAAGAGTTACTTAATAAGAGGTCTAAGCTATTGGTCAAGCAGTGCTGTAATCAATATGGTTTCTGTGTGATTGTTTTGGGTCTGGGCAGCTGGGAACGAATGAGCAGTCTTGCTGTTTCTTTGATGGAAGCTATGAGAATGAGTTTGCTACATTAGCACAAGCCTCAGTATTTTCTAGTCCAGATCTGACATTTTCACCAAGAAGCCAGTGGTGAATGGAGTTAATTCCAGGATCAACTCTTTCAATTTGAGCTAGCATTTGTAACAATATAATTAGCTCTCTTATTTCAGAGACCTTAATTTGGTCTCTCTGGGAAGATGTTGCCTACTTTCAGTCCTGACCCTGGTTTCTCCTCACAGTGAGAAGAGGGGGAACCTATGCGATGGAGCTGGAGCCTAAGTCTGTGATTTCAGACATTGGCATGAGAATTACCTGGAGGCAGCATGCAGCTGCTAGGTCCCACCCTCAGCAATTCCTATTCAACAGATCTTTGTAAACACATTTAATCTGAGGCTGGCACAGTTTTCCTCATGGGATCTAGAGTAAACCAGACAGAGGTTAGGGAATGTGAGCCCTTTTAACTTTCCTCTTTCCATCCAAGTGCTTGTTGAATGATGAATGAGTTTTGTTGTTTCTTAAACACTGGGTATTGGACTGCTTGATTCAGCCCATCGGTGGGTAGGCTAGGGAGATTTGCAAACAGATCAGGGATAAATAAAATCAGTGCCCAGAAATAAGTTTTCAGACATGAGAGGTGTTCCTGAGGGAGAGGCTGCTCCAAGGATATTCTTTCGGGGAGGTTGTGACTTCTGTTGAATTTGTCTCTGTCACACACTGGGCCTAGAGCAACTAATGAGCAGAATCTTAACAGTCCTTTGGTACTGTGAACAAAAGTTTTCATAAAGAAGCCATGTATTTTCAAAGGCTCATTAGAACTTCCATGACTGTGGAGAAGTTGGCAATTTGTAGATGCAGAGCTTAAATTACAGATTATTTTAGCCTGTCTTTAGCTCCTTTGATATCTGCTCATTGCCACGTCTGTGTCTAGCTAACACCCTGTGACTGTTAGGTAAGAAATGGAATACACAAATGGACCTCTGGCTCCCACAGACCAAAGCTAAGGATATCATCAGATAGTACCTGAGACCCATAGAAGACATTCCTGCTTTATTGTAAATGGTCCACCTGATGTAGCCACTAATGTATCTGAAAAGTATGGTTATGCCTTTTCTTTTTGTTTTGTTACTACAAAGTCATGAAACGCTTTCCATGTTGGAATATGGAATTTGGGGTAGCCTAAATCTGTGTTCCTGGGCCCCATCACTATTTATTTTCCCCCCTTTGAGAGAAGAATTGTGTTCTTGTGTTGATGGTACCACTAAGATGAATGCAGAAAATTAAGTATTAACCTACTTACTGCAAGACACAGCAGTACCACTTTGGGGAATATACCCAAAGGATGCACTCTCATACCGCAAGGACATTTGCTCAACCTTGTTCATAGCAGCATTATTTGTAATAGCTAGAACCTGGAAACAACCTAGATGTCCCTCAACCAAAGAACGAATAAAGAAAATGTGGTACATTTACACAATGGAGTACAACTCAGTGGTAAAAAACAATGACATCTTGAAATATGCATGCAAATGAATGGAATTAGAAAAAAGCATCCTGAGTGAGGTAACCCAGACCCAGAAAGACAAACATGGTATGAACTCACTCATAAGTGGATATTAGATGTAAAGCAAAGGGTAACCAGCCTATAATCCATGAGAGAAGCTAGATAACAAGGAGAACCCTAACTGAGACATACATGGATTCCCCCCTGGGAAGGGGAAATAGACAAGAAGTCCTGTGAAAATTGGGAATGTGGAGGGGAGGGTAGAACTAGAGGGAGAGGGGAGAAGGGAGGGAGGAGGAGAACATGAGGGAAGAGGATGGTTGAGATGGGGGAAGGACAGAGAGGAAGAACAAGGAAAGAAATGTTTTGATTGTGGGAACCGTTATGGGGTTAGCAGGAAACCTGGCACCAGAGAAATTCCCAAGAATTCACAAGGATGACCCCAGCTAAGACTGTAAGCTGCAGTGGAGAGGGTGCCTGAACTGGCCTTTCCCTGTGATCAGATTGATAACTACCTTAATTGTCATCATAGAATCTTCATACAACAACTGATGGAAGCAGATGCAGAGATCCACAACTAAGCACTGGATCAAGCTTCCAGAGATCAGTCCAAGAGAGAAAGGAACAATAACATGAGCAAAGAGGTTCAGACCATGATGGGGATACCCACAGAAGCTGCTGACCTGAGCTAATGGGAGTTCACTGACTCTGAACTGATAGCGAGGGAACCTGCATAGGACAAAACTAGAGCCTCTTAAAGTGGGTGACAGTTGTGTGGCTTGGGCAGTCTGTGGGGCCACTGGCATTGGGACCAAGACTTATCCCTAGTGCTTGAACTGGCTTTTTGAAACCCATGCTCTTTGGTGAGATACCTTACTCAGCCTAGATATAGGAGGGTGGAGCAGGACTGGGATAGGTATGTAAAAAAATAATTAAAAATAAAAAGAAAGCCCCCCAAAAGGGTGAAGTTGTGTCCGTTACAGAAAAATAAGTGGTTCCATAGGGTATTGTCTCATTGACTGT